CGCGCTCGTCCCGCATCTCTGCATCTCCTCTCAGATCTCTGTGTATCTCTCTCGGATCTGCACCACATTGCAACTTTCATTTACCAGAAAGGGAGAGACACACACACAAAAGGCGGGATGGGGCCATTGCGGCTCGTGTGTCTAATTGTATAAACAATTGATAGGAAAAACGACAAAGAGTGGCAGGGGTTACATTTTGCAGAAGGTCGATGGAGGGAATACCCTTTGCAAAGGCAGAGATAAAACTGTAATTGGCAGTGTGGAAGACTATGAGAATGTTTTTTTTTCTATAAGTATTTCTTTGAAAGTATCTGTAAAAAGTATCTAACAAAATAAGGAATCTTTTGCATCCCCCAAAACTTACTGAAACGGAAAGTTTTCCTATGAATGCAACTTATTCCGATATTCCGATTCATATTCCCTGAATTTAGACCCCATTCAATCGATTATTCGAACTCTTGCTGGCATACCCTACCATTTAGCTGAAATTTGAATAAATTCTTGAATAAACCTCTCAAACTGAGTAAACTGTGCTTATGCCGCCCATTTTGCAGGGTCTTGTGTGTCTTTTCTTTGACTTAGAGTCAACCACATTTGAACATTTTATACGCAAATTGCCGCTTGGCATGCAGCTCGCTCGCTCCTCAGTATCTCAGTATTTCGTCGACGTTTCGTTTCGTTTCGGTTTTATGGTTTTGCTGAATGGATTGGGTATGGGATTGGGATGGGGATTGGGGGACGCAGAGCCACTGTAGACTTGGGGGCAAACTGCAGTGGTCGCGAAATTTGATGCCAAAACAAGACTACGGCTCTTGTGGGGCAGCTTTGCTGGTTGCCTCGCTGCTTTGCTCTGCTTATGCGACTCATTACATCTCTGGGATGCCACAAAACATTGTGCCTCTGTGTGTATTTATAACTTTAAGCTGTGCTTGGGGGCTTTGCTTGGGGTCCCATTCTGCTGCATGTTGCATGATTCCTCATCATATACATACGCGACTCTCAATTTCCAGTGTCAACTCATCTTTGCATCTGCATCAGCATCTGTTGTGACCACCATCCCTTTGATGTTCTTCTTTGACGTTAATTGAACTTGAATTCTTTCTCTTGTTTGCAGTAAATTGAATGCCAGTGCAGATGCCACAAACACACACACACACGAGAGAGAACGCGTGAATCCCTACTAATTATTGAACTAATCTATATACTATCTATAGCTAAGCAGCCGCATTAATCCCAGCAGCTGCCTAATTATGTTTACTAAACAATTAATAACACTAATTAAAGGCAAAGTGAAATGTTGTTTTTCCTTGAAATTCTTTCTTGAAGCAGAAAATGACATAATGGCATGGGTATTTTTGCGCCAGCATCTCTTTCTCTCTCTCCCTCCCCTCTCTGTGTCTGCCAGATACTATGCAGATAAGATACAGATTCTACGCTACGCGTAGATACAACTTTCGTTCTGGTTGTGGAGAGATAAGTGCTGTTAATCTTAGAGACAGCTGCCACCGCACTGGTAGATCGTGGCGCATCGCTGACTTTTTTGCAGAACCGGCCGGCCTAACTGTCTAAAAAACCAGAAGATGAGCTCAGGAAAGAGCTGGCTAAGACAGTAGATGCGTGCGGCAGCGTCAGACTGCAAGCTTATCTTTTAGTAGCACTTTAATGGGGTAGATACATTTGTATCGTCTGGCGGTGACAGTCGAAACTTTGCCTGCTGCTGCTGCTGCGCCTGGCTGGCTGCGTGCCTCTCTCTCTTCTGCCTTCTCGACTACTTCTAAGATACTTAGTTCTCACACACAACTTGTTGTGTGTTTTTTTTGTAACTTAATGAGTGTGCCACTGCAGCATGCCACCGACAGTACGATTACAAGTACGAGTACGAGTTGCACTGCTGTGTGTCCATGTTAACAATTAATTTGAGTGCCACAATAAAATACAACAAAAAAATAAAACAATATTGCATGACCATTGAAAACCGGGTTGCCGTAAAAAGCATAGCCAAAGGCTGCCCCTGCTCTGCTCTGTCCGTCCGTTCGTCCGTCTGTTGGCCATATATGGACGCAAAACCAAAGCCAAGTGGCAAGCATTTTAGGTGCAATTTGTATCTAAAGCCAGTGTTATTTCTGATTTGGCTAAAAAAGAAATAGAAAGTTGCAACATTTGTGTGACCAATTGGTCACTCGAAAACATCTCTATGCTAATGATTAAGACACACGAGTATGAATAATCAAGAAGTGGGAATACATATACATAAATACATGTGTATGTATCGGTACATCAGGGGGCGGCATGAGCCAACATTTTATATCTATCTGTCCATCTATCGTATGTGGTTTTAATTTTAGACAAATAAAATAAATTACGTGGAAAATGCGAGTGTGGCACAAACCACACGAATCAAAATTCAAATTAAAATTAAAATTTCCACTAAAGAATGCAACGAATATTTATTTATTTATTCTGATGGATACATCCTGTGGCATTCAGTAACGAACATAAGGATTGCATCTATCTTTGCACCTAAATGTATATTATATATGTATAAGCTTATATCTGGAATCAATACATGTGTATCTGTGCCGTGTGTATGCATTTTGTATCTAGAATTTCTCTGGGTTGGGATATTTTCTTTTATTTTTCTCGTTTTGTGCAGACAATGTTGAAAAATACGTGTCAAAAATAAATCGCCATATATTTTTAGCCAACTTACTCAAAACCCGAACACTTTCCGAACAAATCCCAACCAGTAGAACAAGAGAGAGAGAGAGAGAGAAAACTCTCAAGCAAGCGGAGATTCTCTTTTGGGAAAACCGAAAGCCAAATGGCTGTGGGCCATATGGTGTGGATCTGTTTTGGGGTATACTCAGGGACTATTTGACTTTTTAAATATGTTGAATGAAGTCTAAAACTCACTCAAAGATTGCTTGGGAAGGCATTTGGAAACTAGGAGAGGGAGTTACTAAAGCATTTTAATTGCAATTTCAATGGAAATCTGAAGGACACATCTAATAACTATTCGCACTATAAATAACTGAAAGAAATAATCTATAAAAATCTTTACTTATGAATGAAAGATGACCCACAATCATCAAGGATCTAAAACAGATATACCCTTAGGCATACCCTACCTAGTTCGAGTCTCTCATCCACTGCTCTTCTCGCACAAAATGATATGCCTCCCAGTGACATGTGTAGTGCATCATCCCAGAGCGCATCCATCCCAGAGAGCGTTTTCCCACAACAACAAAAAGCGCATGGAAAGTGCAAATATATAACCGAACCCCATCGAATCTCGTTTGGATGTGGCACTCTCCTCGCTTCGTGGAGGAGATTGCTCGAAGATTGCTCTCATGGCGCCCGTCGCATTGCTTCGTTTGGAGGAGATCGTGTGTGCCCGAGATCGTGTCGTGTGTGCAGCGAGCAGAGCAGAGCTATTTGATCGCATTCTCGACAAGATTTTGTCATTCTTCGCTCGCACCTCACAAACGATCGACGTGTCTTGGTTTCAGTCTCGGGGATTATGACTTGAAACAGTTTGAAAATAGATATTTTTTAGTAAAAGAATATACATATATCTATATATATATCGTATATATACGCGCACACAAAACGGTACGGAATATAGCTATATAGAGTTTTTTTGTACGGGCGCAAACATACACACACTCGCACACGCACACACGAACATCGCAAGGATAACGAAATCATAAAGTAAGGATAAAAAATCAAGTGAATGCAATGGAAAAATAAGTGTTCATGAAAATTTTCTCTGGTTACGAAACCACTTTTCGAAAAAGAAGAAAGAAAAAAATCAGAAATTCCGAAAGAATTTTTCAGTGCGCTAAATATCTAAAAATATCACACGAGCAAGCGCGACGGTTGTGCCTTCGGTCGTCGTGTGTGCCTGCTAACGGTGGGGAGGGATTCGTATACCGATTCGTATCGTATCGGATCGTTTCGGTATTCGGTGGTGGTCCGCACCCAATCCAACGAATGGACTGTGAAATCGTGTGCAAACACAGATATCAAGAGATATTCTATATATATGTTCGATAGATATATGAACAGAGCGCATATATATCAGGGAGTGTATAGATATTATCCTGGCTGATCCTGGCAAGGATTACACGCTGATCGTGCTGGGATAATGCTTCTATCTCTCGCTCTATCCCCTCTCTCTATATCTGTGAACAGCGGAGTTCGAACAAAGTTTTTCTCTGAAAGAAAAAACGTTTATAAATAGCATCAGTGAAAAATAAGAAGCTACCACCGAACCACCGATCCGATCCGATCCGATCCACCCATCGTACCAGAGGAGACTGTGTGTGTTTGTGTATGCCTGTTGAGAGTGTATGAGTCGCAGTGCTGCTAAAAATAGTTGAGGGAATATGCCTCACAGCCCAAAGAATATGAATATGAAGAAGAAAGATCTTTAGATCTGATTTATATCGAAAGAAATTTTCAAGTAAAATCCGAGTGTATTGGTGTGTGTGTTTGTGTGTCAGCAAAGAGAAACAGAGAGAAAAATCTATAAAACAAGCACAAAAAACAACTGTGTGACAGGTTCATGCATAAAATTAAATCAAGTTAAAGATACCAAGCCCCAAACGACATAATAAATGTTTGCCAAAAAGTGTCAGACAGTGATAAATGGTGTGTCGCTCTCGAGTATCTCTCGAAACTCGAAATTCAAAAGTGAAAATGCATAAAAATGTAATGTTATTTTCCATCTCTATCTTTGCTTGCCCCTGCTCTTGCCCCACCCTGCCGTATTCAATTTCAGCATCATAAAGAAGCGAGATCAAAGATAGATAAATATATATAAAAAAGTATATCAAGTGAAGAAGCAAATCAAAAAAGAGAAAAGTGATCGAGAGGTGTTACAATCTTAAAGTGCAGTTTCAACTGCATATCTGATTTGGTTGTCATTTGTCAAATGATAGTATATCAGTGATATATAACGAAGCAACAAAATGCAACGACAAAATCCGAACCCGTACCAGCAGCAGCAGCAGCAGCAGCAAGTGCAGCAGCAGCAGCAGTACTCCACTCAGGAGTACTCGCACTCCAGCCAGGAGCAGCATCAGCAGCAAAGGATTAGCCGCACCGAACAGCATGTTCAAAGGAGTCAAATCACCAGCACCCAACAACGAGGTCAGTTGAGTCGAAGGACTTAGTTTCAGGGGACAGGTTCAACCCTAAAGGTTTCAGTGGGGATTCACACCGTGGATTTAGAGTCCCCACTGTTCCAAATTGGGGGAACTGTTCCCGCAGAAATGGCAGTTGTGACAACAGCTTATAGCTTTTCATCATCCTGCTTGTTATTTCACCCAAAATGACCTTGAAAATGTCCTTTACTGCATGCCGTCGATCAAATGTAAGGCCTGAGCTCCTCGGGAGGTTTTCTTTGTTTCTGTAATTGGTTTAGGGACTTGATTCGCTATTTATTTACATATCTTTTGTGTATGTATATTTTATTTTATTTGTGAATATTTTAAGGGAAATATTTTGGGATATGTTTTTGAAAAAATTTCATTTTAGAACATGTAAATATCACAAGATCAGATAAGATCGTTTTTTTCCTTAGAAAATGGATGAAAAATTGCATGGAATTCGGGGAAAATATGTTGTAAAATTAAGACTATTAATCGATTGTACTTTCGATTTAGCGCTGACATTTTAGTCATCAAAAATGTTATAAAAAATGCATTTTTCAGGTCCTCGTATAGAAGGCATCTCAAAGAAAAATTTGATTTTCATTACATCAACGTAATAAATGTCTTCCAACTTGATAAACTCCCTCGTCTGCCAGATTCCCTATTCTATATTCCTGATGTGCATTAGGAAGGAATCTTTACCAAGAATTCATGACAAATAATTATGAAATTCAGTGGAAAATACTATTATATTATATATAAGTATACGGATATTGATTGATTTATTTATTCTGTAATTTGAATGTAAACAGTCAGATAAAAGTTACCAGAATGCGGATACGTACTCATTGCAATAAACAAATCTGAAAAATACGAAAATACAGAGATTTAGTATTGTTGATTGTATCACAAATTGAAAATAGATCTTATTTCCTACAAACTAAAACTAATAAATAGTAAAAACCTTACGAAAATATGCATAAATATTTCTCTACACTGCAAAAATATTCTCAAATAAATATATGTATAAGTATGGATGTGTCCGCAGACATGTGTCATCATTAAAATTTTACCAAAAGACATCAAAAAAATATATTATATTTTCGACAAACACTCGTGGGAGAAAAGAAAAAGCAAAATATTTTCGAACATAAATTTATATTCATGTGTCAACTTGTGTTTCATCATTTAAATCTTAATTGATGATCAGTTAGACGAAATTCGGAACAAAATTCGGACAACTATTTATGGGTTTATCTATTCATCTGCCAAAATCCCATAAGACTGCACTGACACACATATACGAATACTATATAGATACGCTATCTATATCTATGGCGTATAAGAGTGGCGCGATGACAAGAAATTTGTTTACATTTTGAGGGTATAAGAATCAGCCTCTGACTAATCAGAGTGAATGGGATATAGAGTGCAGCTCTCTCTCATCTCTTATACGATCAGTCGGAGCATGCGTGAGAAACGCGAGAGAGGCGAAGAGAACTCAAAGAAGAAGGAAGATAAGGAGACAGCTGTTTCTCTCAAAGTTGTTTATCTTTTCTATGTTGTCTTTCTGTCAGCTGTTTTTGGGAAGTCGTCAACCTGTAGATACATACACACACAAGTATCTTTCGTTAATGACACACTTCCTAGAGATACAATTGATAAACAAATGCTTAAAGATAGCATATAAACAAAATACAGATGCGAATATACATACATGGATATATATGTAATTACTTATAGATAGTTTCTACTTATAGTTTTGGCGTTTACTTATAGCTAGTGTTTATTTATGGCTGATTTATGGTATAAATAGTTTCATTCATGTTAAAAATGTTAAAAAAAAAAAAATGAAGTTGAATTAAGTTTTACGTAAAGTAATTGCTCTTGGTTTCACTTTAAATGATTATAGAAACTTATTTGTAGGAATATGATTTTTTAAAACACTTTTAAAGGATATTTTGGTAGCAGCTTTTACTAGAGAAAATATTGATAAGGACTTGAATATTATTATTTTATGTGTTTCTATTTTCTTTTTATCTAAATAATCATGGAACCTTTTTCCAATATTATTTCATGGCTGATGGAAAATATTAGTAGCCATTTTTCTTGAATCTTGTTTAAACCACAAACTAAAATACAAACAAATTCCAGCACTAAAAGCTCTTTCTTCGTATTTTTTGTGGAATTAAGAACCCTCCGTAGACCTCCTTATTTTCCCTAATATTTGTTGTATATCCCCAAAATGTATGCTCTTAACCCACACCATTTAATGCCACTCTCATTTGCCGCCTTCAGCAAGTCCCCAAATTTGTGCTAATCTAAATTATTTTTACAGTCCAACAACATTCTGGCGGTGGCAGCATCACTGGCGGTGGCATCAACTATGTGCCACCCGCATTGACACACGTTTATGCCCAGGGCGACATCTCGCCGCCGGTTTTCGAGCAGATCTTCAAGAATGCTCGCTTCGCTCAGGGTGGCAATGCCATGTTTGAGGGAAGGCTGCGTGGCAATCCGAAGCCATTCGTGACATGGACCCGAAAAGGCGCACCACTTCTCGAGTCGCAAAAGTTTCGAATGAGCTACAACGAGGCCACCGGCGATGTCTCGCTGCTGATCAATCAGATTGGACCCGGGGATGAGGGCGAGTATACCTGCACCGCTCGCAATCAGTATGGTGAGGCCATCTGCAGTGTCTACATCCAGCCGGAGGGCGCACCAATGCCAGCGTTGCAGCAGCCCAGCATCCAGAATCTGGAGAAGAACATCTATTCGAATGGGTACTCGTACACGTCCATCGAGGAGGAGTTCCGCGTGGACACCTTTGAGTATAGACTGCTGCGTGAGGTCTCCTTCCGCGAGGCCATCACCCGCCGCTCCGGCTACGAGCTGGACTCTCAGCTCTCCCAAGAGCTCGACCGCACCCTAGGCCCCGCGCATGCGCCACAAATCTCGCAGAAGCCGCGCAGCTCGAAGCTCATTGAGGGCTCCGATGCTGTGTTTACCGCTCGCGTCGGCTCCAACCCCAAGCCCCGTCTCACGTGGTTCCACAACGGACAGCGTCTGGTGGCATCGCAGAAGTACGAGATCTCCTATTCGAGCGGAGTGGCAACGCTGCGCGTGAAGAATGCCACCGCCAAGGATGGCGGCCACTACACCCTTTTGGCTGAGAATTTCCAGGGCTGTGTCGTCTCCTCTGCCGTGCTGGCCGTGGAGCCGGCGGCTGAGTCTGCCTACGAACCGAAACCCGTGGACGTGATGGCCGAGCAGCTGGAGGCGGGCAAGGCCTTGCCCCCGTCATTTGTCAAGGCCTTTGCCGATCGCGAGGTCACCGAGGGACGCATGACCCGTTTTGATTGTCGCGTGACTGGCAATCCCTATCCGGAGGTCTTCTGGTTCATCAATGGTCGCCAGGTGAGGGACGATGCCTCACACAAGATTCTCGTGAACGAATCGGGCAGCCATTCGCTGATGATTACGAATGTGACCCGCCTGGATGGCGGCGCTGTGCAGTGTCTGGCCCGCAACAAGGCCGGCGAGGTGGCCATCGAGGCGCAGTTGAATGTGCTGGAAAAGGAACAGGTTGTTGCACCGCAATTTGTTCAACGCTTCAGCACGATGACTGTGCGCGAGGGTGAACCGATAACGATGAGTGCCAATGCCATTGGCACACCACTGCCGCGCATTACCTGGCAAAAGGATGGCGTTCAGATCTCATCCACCGCCGAACGTTTCGTGGGCATTGACGGAGGCGCCACCTGCCTGGAGATACCGCGTGTCCAGGCCACCGATGCCGGTTGGTATCAGTGCACGGCCCAGAATATTGCCGGCTCGACGGCCAATCGTGCGCGCCTCTATGTGGAAGTGCCACGAGAGCAGCCATCGCAGGAGCAGCGTCGTTTGAATCTGCCCCGACCCACGAAAGTGATTGAGCCAGAGTGAGTGTCTCAAAGATTTACCTTCAGGTTGCCAAAGTTACTCATTATTTTTGGTGTTTTTGCAGACCCATTCCTGGCCCTGAAATCATTTACTTGCGTCATGTGGAGCGCGCCAAGCCCCATTTGCGCCCTGGGGAGGAGGATCGCGTTTATCCTCCACCACAATTTATTATCCCGCTGCAGAATGTGCAGCAGACCGAGGGCGGACGCGTGCATATGGAGGCGCGCATTGAGCCCGTGGGTGATCCCACAATGGTCGTCGAATGGTATCTCAATGGACGTCCCCTGGCAGCCAGTAAGTAGAGCAACTCCATGAAGAAAACTTGCGTCTAATACCCCTCCTCTTTCCTTCAGGTGCCCGTGCCACATCTGTCTTCAAGTTTGGTTTCATCGCCTTGGATCTGCTGAGCATCATGGGTCATGACTCTGGCGAGTACATGTGCCGCGTGAGCAATGCCAGCGGTGTGGCCGAGTCCCGTGCCATTCTGTCTGTTGTGCAGCGTCCATCCATCGATCAGACATCGCAGAATCCCAACAGTGTGCAGTACATCTCGCAGCTGGAGGACTATTCGCGCTATCAGCGACAGGAGAGCTCCGAGGAGCAGCTGAATCAGGCGCCCCAGTTCATACGCCCACTGCGTGATTTGGGCGAGTTTGAGGAGGGTAAAAATGTGCACTTTGAGGCACAGGTGACGCCCGTCAATGATCCATCGATGCGCGTGGAATGGTACAAGGATGGCCTGCCCATTACAGCCAGCTCCAGGATCACGGCCATCTTCAACTTTGGCTATGTGTCCCTGAATATCCTACACCTGAGAGCCGAAGACTCCGGCACCTACACCGTGCGCGCCGTCAATCGCATTGGCGAGGCCATCAGTCAGTCGGTTATTCGTGTCCATGTGCGCTCCCAAGTGACCGCCGATCTGGGCATACCCGAGCAGCAGCGTTACATCGAAAAGACCGAGCAACTGGAGGACTATCGCAGCAAATCTCAGCAGCGTCGTCATGTGCAGGAGGCACCCGAGGCCATTGCACCGCCGCAGTTCAAGACTCCCATCCAGAATCAATTGGATCTGCGGGAGCACGCGCATGCGCACTTTGAGGCGCGTCTCGAGCCGGTGGGCGACTCCACGATGCGCGTCGAGTGGCTGAAGGATGGCCAACCGCTGGAGGCGAGCAGCCGCATCACGACCTACCACAACTTTGGCTACGTGGCGCTGACCATCAAACAGCTGACCATCTACGATGCCGGCACCTACACCTGCCGCGCCTACAATGCCATGGGCCAGGACACCACCGTGGCCCAATTGACGGTCATCTCAAAGAATGAAATTGTCTCCGACTCGCAGCATCCCGGTGGTCTGCAGAAGATTCAACATTTGGAGGACTCATCCCGCTACGGACGTCGCGAGGAGGAGGAGATTTGCATCAATCAGGCGCCACGTTTCCTCGGTCCCATGAAGGGCACCACCAAGATCTTGGAGGGACAACGCGCCCACTTTGAGGCACGCGTGGAGCCGCAGTCGGATCTGGGCATGCATATTGAATGGTATCACAATGGACGCTCCATCACGGCAGCCAATCGCATACAGACCTACTACGATTTTGGTTATGTGGCTCTGGATATCTCGCAAGTGAGGGCCGAGGATGCGGGCGTCTATCTGGTGGTGGCCAGGAACAAGCTGGGTGAAGCTCAGTTGCAGGCAACGATGGTAGTGGAAAGTATGTACAAAACAGAACCAAAATCTCTGTGGAATCCCCTCTTAATAATCTCTTTTCCTTCCCTCCCCAGCTCGTTCCAATATCGACACATCTAGCATGCATCGTGGCCTCTACGAGAAGACCCAAAATCTGGAGAATAAACCCTTCGTGGAGCCCCAATATGACATTGAGGAGATCTCCAAGTCCAAGCCCGTATTCGTGCAGCCCCTGGCCGATCCCAAGCCCATACATGATGGCAAAAATATCCATTTGGAGTGCCGCCTGGAGCCCATGGGTGATCCCACAATGCGCGTCGAATGGTTCCACAATGGCCGCCCCGTGACAGTGGGCTCTCGCTTCAGGACCTACTACGACTTTGGCTTCGTGGCTTTGGACATTATCAAGGCCACTGCCGCGGACTCTGGGGAGTATACAGTGCGTGCCACCAACCATCTGGGCACTGCCCATACCTCCGCCTGTGTGCGTGTGATCGATCGCACCGATGTCGTCACGGAGACGCAGAATGAGCAATCGCTGGAGCAGATCCAACTGCTCGAAAACTCGCGTAGCAGGCAGCATCGCGAGGAGGACATCACCGTGATGCAAGCGCCACAATTTACGCGTGCGTTGCATAACATCGAGACTGTGGAGGGCACCAATGTCCATCTGGAGTGCCGCCTGCAGCCCGTGGGTGATCCATCGATGCGCATCGAATGGTTCGTGAATGGCAAACCCGTCAAGACGGGCCATCGCTTCCGTCCCGCCTATGAGTTTGATTATGTGGCCTTGGATCTGCTCGGCTGCTATGCCATCGATTCGGGCGTGTACACGTGCCAGGCAAGGAATCAACTGGGCGAGGCCGTCACCTCTTGCTCCGTGAGAATCACCTCAAAGAACGATTTGATTCTGGAGACGCAGAATGAATCGGGACTGCAAAAGATTGCCTATCTGGAGGATAGTTCTCGGTATCGCCGTCACGAGGAGATCGATGAGGTGGTCAACATTCGTCCGAGGTTCCTTACCCAACCCAAGAGCCTGAACAACACCCGCGAGGGAGGACACGCCCACTTCGAGTGTAAGATTGAACCCGTCACAGATCCCAATCTGAAGGTTGAATGGTTCAAAAATGGTCGCCCCATCACCGTGGGTCATCGCTTCCGTCCCATACACGATTTTGGTTATGTGGCTTTGGACATTGTTCATTTGATTGCCGAGGATTCGGGTGTCTACACCTGCAGGGCAGTCAATTTGATTGGCTCCGATGAGACCCAAGTGGAGTTGCAGTGCCGCAGCAGCGAGCAAATTGTCACCGTGACCCAGAATGAGGCGGGACTCGAGCAGATCCACTATTTGGAGGATCGTTCGCGGTACAGCCGTCGCGAGGAGATTGACGAGAGCACCAAGCAGGCGCCAGTGTTTACCACATCCCTGAAGAACATTGAGATCAAGGAGAACCAAAGGGCGCACTTTGAGTGCCGTTTGATCCCCGTTTCGGATCCATCGATGCGCGTGGAGTGGTACCACAACAATCTGCCCCTCAAGTCGGGCTCCCGCTTCACGGAAACCTCCAACTTTGGTTTTGTGGCGCTGGATATTATGTCCACGCTGCCCGAGGATGCTGGCACCTACACCTGTCGCGCCTTCAATGCCGTTGGCGAGGCCATCACCTCCGCTGTGGCTGTGGTGCACACCAAGAAGTCAATTTACTTGGAATCGCAGCACGAGACGGCACTGCCACGTCTGCAGCATCTGGAGGATGGCTCCAAGCGCCAGCGCATCAGTGTCCAAGATGAGTTTGTGTCCCAGGCGCCAATCTTTACGATGCCCGTGAGGGATGTGCGTGTGGCCGAGAATCAGGCCGTGCACTTTGAGGCACGTTTGATCCCCGTGGGAGATCCCAACCTAAAGGTCGAGTGGCTGCGCAATGGCCAGCCCATTGAGGCCTCGAATCGCACCACCACCATGCATGACTTTGGCTATGTCGCACTGAACATGAAGTATGTGAATCCCGAGGATTCCGGCAGCTACAGCTGCCGTGCCATCAATGAGTTGGGTCAAGCGGTGACCTCCGCCTCGCTGATTGTCCAATCAAAGACGGCCATTCAGCTGGAGACGCAACACGAGGCTGCCATGCACAAGATACATCAATTGGAGGATCACAGCCGCTACCAGCGACGCGAAGAGGAGGAGTACACAGTCACCACGGCCCCAGTGTTTGTCACGAAACTGATTGGACCCACGAACCTAAAGGAGGGTCAAAGCGCCCACTACGAGTGCCGCATCGAGCCGTATCCGGATCCCAATCTGAAGGTCGAGTGGTTCCACAATGGCAAACCCCTCAGCACGGGCCATCGGTTCCGCACCACCTACGACTTTGGTTTTGCCGCCCTGGACATTCTGACGGTCTATGCCGAAGACTCTGGGGAGTACACCTGCCGCGTAACCAATAATCTGGGCGAGGCCATCAATTCAATCAACCTGAATGTCACCTCTCGCTCCTCGATCATCCATGAGACACAGCACGAGGATGCACTGTCAAAGATTGCCCATCTAGAGGATGCCTCACGCTTCCAGCGCAAGGCGGACGAGGAGCAGTTCCACGCAGAGCGTCCACAATTCGGTCGCTCGCTGCGCAATGCCAAGGTCAACGAGGGCACGCCGGTGCATCTGGAGGCAACGCTGATACCCGTGAATGATCCCACAATGAAGGTCGAATGGTACTGCAATGGCACACCCATCCAAGCGGGACATCGCTTCAAGACAACCTACGATTTTGGTTTTGTCGCACTGGACATCCTTTATGCACATGCCGAGGATACGGGCACATACATGTGCAAGGCCAAGAATGCAATTGGAGAGGCAGTCACGACATGTGCTGTAAACGTAACAGGTATGAGTACCCCAGTCCCCCTAGAAATCCTTTCCTTAAACATTCCATTTCCCTTTTTCTAGCAAACAAAACCCTCGATCTGGACACTATGGATGCGGAGAGACTCGAAAAGATTCGCCAACTGGAAAGCTATGCCCCGCCCACCAAGGCTGTCGTGGAGGAGAAGGGCTCCAAGCCCATTTTCCTCACACCACTCAGCAATTTGGAGCACCTCAAGGAGGGCGAACATGCCCATCTCGAGTGCCGTGTGGAGCCCATCAATGATGCGAACCTCAAGATTGAATGGTTCTGCAATGGCAAGCAGTTGCCCATGGGTCATCGCTTCCGCACCACCCACGATTTTGGCTATGTGGCGCTGGACATTCTCTATGTCTATGGAGAAGACACTGGCACGTACATGTGCAAGGCCACCAATTTGTTGGGTGAGGCAGTAAATACCTGCAATGTGCGCGTATTGAATCGCCGCAGCATGATTCTGGATACCCAACATCCCGATGCTTTGGAGAAGATTCAGAAACTGGAATCGAAGGTGGTGAATGCACGCACTGAGGTCGGTGATCATCCCATCAGTCCGCCACACTTTACGGCGGAGCTGCGCGGCTCCACGGAGATTTACGAGGGACAAACGGCGCACTTTGAGGCGCAGGTGGCACCGGTGCATGATCCCAATCTACGCATCGAATTCTATCACAATGGCAAGCCACTGCCATCGGCTGCCCGCTTCCACATCACCTTTGACTTTGGCTATGTGTCGCTGGACATTACCCATGCCGTGGCCGAAGATGCTGGAGAGTATTCTGTTCGTGCTGTCAATGCCATGGGACAGGCCGTGTCGGCCACTAATCTCAGGGTGATTGCCCGCGGCACCATAATCTCGGACACACAGCATCCGGAGGGTCTGGAGAAGATCCGCAAGCTGGAGTCCACAGCGCCACATCAGCGCCAGGAGGTGGAGACACCGGGCACTCGTCAGCGTCCCGTGTTCACGCAGCCCTTGCAGAACATTGACAGGATCAATGAGCACCAGACGGCGCACTTTGAGGCGCGTTTGATTCCCGTGGGTGATCCCAATTTGAAGGTCGAATGGTATCGCAACGAGAAGATCATCGAGGACAGCTCTCGCATCACCAAGCAGCATGACTTTGGCTTTGTTTCTCTGGACATTTCCCACATTCGGAAGGAGGATGAGGGCGTCTACATGTGCCGTGCTGTGAATCCGCTGGGAGAGGCCGTGACCACCGCCTCCATGCGTGTTGTGTCCGAGGCCAGCATTCTGATGGACACGCAACATCCGGACAGCATAAGTCGCATCCATCAGCTCGAGAAACCATTGGCGCCACGTCCCACCGAACCGGAGCGTCTCTTCGAGAAGCCCATCTTCACGCAGCTGCTGACGGGACCCTCAGAGCTATGGGAGGGCGCACACGCCCACTTCGAGGCGAGGGTTGTGCCCGTGGGTGATCCTTCACTACGTTTCGAATGGTTCATCAATGGAGTGGAGCTGCAAATGGGCTCCCGACTGCGCACCACTCACGACTTTGGTTTCGTGACGCTCGACATTGCGGCTGTGGTGCCGGAGGATGCCGGCGTTTACATGTGCCGCGCTTACAATGCCGCCGGCGAAGCTGTCTCCTCCACGGCCATGAAGGTGAAGACCAAGGCCAACATTGATGGACAACCTTTGATCCCCGAGTCTTGGGAGGCCATTCGCCTGAAGGAGGCTGCCATGAATCGTGTGCCCGAAATGTTTGTAGACTCTACGCCACAACAGGCGCCGGTGTTCACGACACATCTGCAATCCTACGACAAGTTGCACGAGGGACAACATGTGCTGCTCGAAGCTCAAGTGGAGCCACGCGCTGATCCCAATCTGCGCATCGAATGGTTCAAGAATGGAATCTCCCTGACCACCGGCTCCAGGATACGCAGCACTTTCGACTTTGGTCTGGTGACGCTGTCCATCAACGGTTTGCGCGAGGATGATTCAGCCATTTACACGTGCAAGGCCACCAACCAGATCGGTGAAGCCGTGTCCACATCCTCGCTGAAGATTGAAGATCGTCACTGGCTGCAGGCGGACTCGCTGCATCCCGATGCCCTGCCACGTATTGGCGCACTGGAGGCACCCAAAGCGGATCGCCCAGCGGCGCCAGAGCCCACCTATGAGACGCCCGTGTTCATTACGCATCTGAACAACATCGAGTGCAAGGAGTCGGACAATGTGCGCTTCGAGTGCAATGTGGAGCCCGCCAGGGATCCCACAATGCAGATTGAATGGTTCTACAATGGACAACCGCTGCAGGCGGCAGCCAAATTCAAGTCCATCTATGACTTTGGCTACTGCGCGCTGGATCTCACCAATTCCTATGCGGAGAACAGTGGCATATACACGTGCAAGGCCACGAATAGCCGTGGTTCGGCCACCACATCGGGCACTCTCAAGTGCACCGGTGGCAAGACCATGTACCTGGACACACAACATCCCCAGGGAGAGAGCGGTCTGGAGGCAGTGCAGGAAACCGAAGAGGCACTGGCCAATCGTTATGCCCAGAAATCGAGCAAACCCGAGACCCAATATCCACCACCAGTGTGGACCAAGCCGCTGCAGGCCGAGTTCCATTTGTCGGAGGCGCAACCCATCCATTTGGAGGCGAATGTGGAGCCCAAGGAGGATCCAAATCTGTTCATCGAATGGTACTTTAATGGCAAAATGCTGCAGCATGGCTCACGCTTCAAGATGACCACAGAATTTGGTTTTGTTACAATGGACATGATTGAGGTTTACGCTAGGGATCAGGGCATCTACACGTGCAAGGCATACAACAAGGCCGGTGAGGCATTCACCTCCACAACCATCTTCTGCTCCACCAAGGAGAACATCATTGAGAGCACACAACACCCCAAGGGCGCTGAGGGTCTCGAACAGATCCAGGACCTCGAGGATTCACTGCGCAAGGACGGCTCCAAGCCGGAGCAACCCGATCTGGGCATTGCCCCACGCTTCACCACGGAGTTCGTCAACATTGCAGACATTGGCGAGGGCGAGTTGGCTCACTTCGAGGCGAATCTTATACCTGTGGGCGATCAGAGCATGATCATAGAATGGTTCTACAATGGCAAAGTGCTGGAGGCCAGTCATCGCGTGCGCACCATCTACGCTTTTGGCACAGTGGCCCTGGAGGTGCTCGGCACCAAGATCGAGGACACTGGCACCTACACCTGCCGTGCCACCAATAAACATGGCACGGCCGAGATCAGCTGCACGTTGGAGTGCGTGGACAAGCCACGTGGCCAGAAGCCGCACTTTACCTCCCACATTCAGCCGCTGCAGGGCTTGAAGGACGGACAATCGGCGCATTTCGAGTGCACTTTGATTCCAGTCAACGATCCGGATCTGAAGGTCGAATGGTATCACAATGGCAAGCTGTTGCGTCACTCGAATCGCATCAAGACTGTCTCCGACTTCGGTTACGTTGTCCTGGACATTGCCTACCTGCAGGATCACGATTCCGGGGAGTATGTGTGCCGTGCATGGAACAAATACGGCGAGGACTTTACCCGCACCACCCTCAATTGTGGTGGACGCGGCGGCGTCTTCTACGACAGCCTGCAGCCTGATTCGTTGCAGCGCATTCGCGAATTGGAGTGCCCACAGGGACAGCAGGGAGATACCAGTGCACCCGTCGTGGCAGAGCCACCGAAATTCATCACACAGATTGCGGATGTCACCAAGCTGGTGGAGGGACAGAGCGCGCACTTTGAGGCACGTCTTACGCCCATCACGGATCCCGATTTGGTCGTGGAATGGTACTTCAATGGCAAGAAACTGCCGCACGGTCATCGTTTCCGCACGTTCCATGACTTTGGCATTGTCATCCTGGACATTCTTTACTGCTACGAAGAGAACTCTGGCGTGTACGAGTGTCGTGCGGTCAACAAGTACGGCGAGGATTCGACACGCGCCTCCCTCAAGTGCGCCTCAAAGGCGAGCCTCATTTTGGACTCGCAACTGCCCCGCGGCATGGAGGGTGGCCTGGAGAAGATTGCCAATCTGGAGTACAGCATGGTGCGCACACGCGACGACGCCACCACCGAGGAGACCAAGGGCAAGGCGCCCGTCTTCACCGTGCCCCTCGAGAACATTGACAACATGCGCGAGGGCGAGAATGCGCACTTTGAGGCAAGGATAACGCCCGCCGATGATCCCAAATTGAAGGTTGAATGGTTCTGGAATGGACGACCCCTCAAGGCGGGCTCACGCTTCCGCACTTTCTGTGACTTTGGTTTCGTTATCCTGGAGATTTCCCCGGTCTATCCCGAGGACTCCGGAGAGTACTCGTGCCGTGCCATCAACGACTATGGCGAGGCCGTGACCACCTCCACAATGAAGATCCAAGGCAAGCGCTCCATCATCATGGAATCACAGCTGCCCAAGGGCATGGAGGGCACCATCGATCGCATTGCCGAGCTCGAGGGATTGGGCTCACGCAGCACAGAGTTCGTGCCGGATGATGACACTGGCAAGCCGCCAGAGTTCATTACGACGCCATTTGACATGGTCATTACGGAGAATTCGCTGGCGCACTTCGAGTGCCGCCTGCAGCCCATCAATGATCCGTCGATGCGTGTGGATTGGTTCCACAATGGCAAGGCCCTGTGGGCCGGATCTCGCATCAAGACCATCAATGACTTTGGCTTTGTTATCCTGGAGATTGCGGGCTGTTATCAGCGCGACACGGGACTGTACACGTGCAAGGCCACCAATAAGCATGGTGAGGCCACAGTGTCTTGCAAGCTGCAGGTCAAGGGTCGCCAGGGCATCATCATGGAGCCACAGCTGCCGTCGAACTTCCGCACTGGCACCGAGAGCCTGCAGAAGCTGGAGGAGAGCATGCACAAGCGTGAGGAGATTGTCATCGATGAGGAGCAACCCAATCCACCGAAATTCACCGAGGACATTAAGGACAATCTGGATGTGCCCGAGGGTGGACCCATACACTTTGATTGCCGCGTTGAGCCCGTGGGCGATCCATCGATGCGCATCGAATGGTTCTACAATGGTCATGTGATGGCCACTGGCTCCAGGGTGCATCAGCTGAATGATTTTGGTTTCATTGCTCTCGATGTGGATTACATTTATGCCCGGGACTCGGGCGAGTACACGTGTCGTGCCACAAACAAGTGGGGCACTGCCACCACCACCGCCAAGGTCACGTGCAAGGGCAAGCATAACATTGTCTACGAATCGCAGCTGCCCGAGGGCATGACCTCGGACAAGCTCAAGGAACTCGAACGTGGACGCATACCCGAGGCACCCAAGATCGTCGAACAGGAGTACGGACCCCCGAAGTTTGTCACACAAATCACCAACGTGACCGTGGAGGAGGCGGAGGCCGTCAGGTTTGAGTGCCAAGTGGAACCCAAAACGGATCCCAGCCTGCGCGTTGAATGGTATCGCAATGGCAAACCTCTGCCGTCAGGTCATCGTTATAGGAACATCTTTGACATGGGTTTCGTCTCGCTGGACATTCTCTATGTCTATGGCGAGGACTCTGGCGAGTATGTGTGCCGCGCCATTAACAATCATGGCGAGGATCGCACCAGAGCCACAGTGTCCTGCAAGAGTGAGTTTTTCCCTGCACTTTCTTCCCTTCTTTTCTATAACTTTTCTCTCTCCCCTAGAACTGCCCACAATTCTGTTGCAAAATCAAGTGCCACGCGGCATGAAACGCTCCGATGCATTGACCCAAATGGAGGCCACCATCAAAAAGTACACCTCGGAGGTGCATCTCACAGAGGATGATCTCTTCGATCCGGATCGCAAGCAGCCCCCGAGATTTGTGACTCAAATCAAGGAACAGCTGACGCTCACAGAAATGGCCGTCACGAAATTCGAATGCCAATTGGCGCCCGTGGGTGATCCCAATATGAAGGTTGAATGGTTCTTCAATGGCAAGCCATTGCTGTACAGTAAGTACTCGAAGATCTCACCCACCCAAACTCCAACTAAAAGTTATTGTTTCCCTCCCATAGAGAACCGCTTCCAACCCATTTACGATTTTGGTTATGTGGCCATGAACTTTGGTTGGGTTTATCCCGAGGATTCCGGCGAATATGTCTGCCGTGCCACCAATTTGTATGGCAAGGATGAGACCCGTGCCTTCATCAAGGTCTCTGGCAAGCCGGGCATTGTCTATGATTCGCAGCTGCCTGCACATATGCAGAGCATAGATCGCATTCGTGAAATGGAGGCCTCATGGCAGGTGTAAGTATTAACAGAAAAGAGTGAAAAACCTTCACAGAAATTGGAATATAAATTCTAAATAAATTATTCCCTTCCCTTAGTGTCCCTGAGGAGGCTGATCCCGATGCCAAGCCACGATCTAAGCCTGTTTTTGTCAGCAAAATTGAACCCCAGACGGTGGAGGAAGGCGAACCCGCTCGATTCTGTGTCCGTGTGACTGGACATCCACGTCCCAGGGTCATGTGGCTGGTCAATGGCCATACCGTGGTGCATGTACGTATGAAAGAGATTTCGAATAAATACAAAACTAAATGTTAAACCTCTCTCATCCCCATTTAGGGCTCTCGCTATAAGCTCACCAACGATGGCATGTTCCATTTGGATATCCCCAAGACCCGTCAATACGACACAGGCAAAGTGGAGGTGATTGCTCGCAATTCTGTGGGTGAATCCATCACTCAGACCGAACTGAAGGTTGTCTCACGCTCCGATGATTATCGCAATGTTTTGAAGAACTCGCCACGCCGTAAGTGCCACAGATTTTACACACGAATTTCCAATTATTTACAAGCTATTTAGACAAAAATAACAACAAAATTTACAAACAAAATGCAGTAGAAAAAAGAAACACATGATAAAACTTTCACATACAAAAACTCATTTGTAAATATTTATACATGACAACATGCCACAAAAGATACATGCCACATAATACCCGTAGATGCAAATGCAACCACGTTTTAAAAGTAGCAAAAAACAATTTAGAAAAACAATCCACAAAAGAAAATATCCCTCAAGAATCCCCCCAATACCGAAATCCCACAATTATTCCCACCTCCAAATCCCAAGAGATCGGATCGTAATGTAGAAGAGCGCTTTTTGGAAGGAAGAAGGACCCCCAAATGGACTCTGCAATGTCTCTCTATCTCTCTCTCAATCTGTATATTACGTTCTAAGTATTGCCATTTGGAGCCATGGGTAATATGGTGATAGTTATGATAGTTCTTTCTTCGTGTGTCTCTGTGTGCTATTTTCCGTCTGTTTTTTATCTCCAAACTGTGGTCATCATCCGCTTGTCATTTAAATTCTGTATATATTCCTCCCTCTCTCTCTCTCTCTCTATCTCTATCTTTCCTGTCTTTATTCATAATTTGTTGAGATAAAAAAAAAAAACAAAAAGGAGCTAGTAGACCTCTAAAAAGAATTACTAAACCAATAATCATATATTCTTTGTACTAAATCGATTTCCTAGTGACTAAAAACTTAAGTTTTAAGGCATGAAAGTTTGTATTAAAGATTATAGAAACACAGAGATGATGGACTGAAAATTAATGAACAGAATTGGGAGAGTTTAAGATATTTAAGAGTCATTTGTGTACATTTATTCATGGATGGTAGGTATAAAAAAAGAATAAATTCATTGTGAATAAATATCTCCACTGCTAGAGAGCAAAATAAATCTGTTCTTTATTTATATTTGAACTAAAAGCCTCATCTTTGTGTTCTACAATATTTTATACCAGAAATACTAACATCTATCATCCCCGTAGCCGCATGTAGTTGTGTCTTAACAAACTTCTTTTTCGTTCCGCCTTTATATGCGTGACCCCAAAATTAAATCCCAAAATTGTGCTCCCCTTTTGAATGTACAGCCTGGTATGACTATGAGCTAGCCGCCTATCAGAAGGAGCGTCAGGACAATGAACTGGAAAAGGTATTTGATGAACGTAAGCAATATTTGTCCGAGCAGAGTGCACACACGCTCAAGGGCGTGGAGCATCTGAAGCCGAAGCAGTACAAGCCACAGACACCCGACTGGCAGCAGAATGTCAAGGCCAAGAAGAGCGAGGAGTACTACAACAAGCTGCAGAGCCTGGAGGTGGAACAGCTGCTCAAGGAGACCAATCTGAGGAGGGACAATCATCAGTATGCCATACCCGGCGAGAAGGTTGTCAGCAGCTCAGCGGCCAAGGGCATGGCACACTCTTACGAGGAGAATCTGTAAGTAAAGAGAGAAAAACCCCCAAAGAAAATTCCACTAAGAACAATTTGTTTGCCCTTTCAATCTAGCCAAGAGCAAACGAGCACCACTCAGGTAAAGCCTGCCCCACCAAAGGGCATCGCTGAACCCTCCGAGTCGTCCGTGCATGGCCGTGAGGTGCACATGAACAAGCAACAGCAAGTGCAGAAGGAAATCCAAGGTGATCTTGAGATCACACGCAAGATCACCGCCACCGAAACCACCGAAGTGGAGCACAAGGGCACCATTCAGGAGCGCGTGGTCAAGGGACCCGTTAAGCCTGCCAAGGCCCCAGTTTTCACCAAGAAAATCCAACCCTGCCGCGTGTTTGAGAACGAACAGGCCAAGTTCGAGGTGGAATTCGATGGCGAACCCAATCCCACGGTGAAATGGTACCGCGAGAGCTTCCCCATTCAGAACTCACCGGATCTGCAGATCCACACGTTCAGCGGCAAATCGATTTTGATTATCCGTCAGGTGTTTGTAGAGGATTCGGCTGTGTTCTCGTGCGTGGCTGAGAACCGCGGAGGCACCGCCAAGTGCAGCGCCAATCTCGTGGTGGAGGAGCGTCGTCGTGCCGGCAAGGGTGGCATTCAGCCACCGAGCTTTGTGACCACCATTCAGAGCACCACCGTGGCCACCGGACAGCTGGCACGCTTCGATGCCAAGGTCACAGGTACCAAGCCCATGGATGTCTACTGGCTGAAGAACGGCATGAAGATCCATCCGAGCATCAAGTTCAAGATGCTCGAAGAGGATTCCGTCCACACTTTGCTCATCATCGAACCCTTCGCCGAGGACTCTGGCCGCTACGAGTGTGTGGCCGTCAATTCGGCTGGAGAGGCGCGTTGCGATGGCGATTGCGTTGTTCAATCGCCCACAAAGCCGGACAAACCAACGACACCCGGCAGCGAGAAGGCCCCACACATCGTGGAGCAGCTGAAGAGCCAGTCCGTCGAGGAGGGCAGCAAGGTGATCTTCCGCTGCCGCGTGGATGGCAAGCCCACGCCCACAGCCCGCTGGATGCGCGGTGAGAACTTTGTCAAGCCGTCGCGCTACTTCCAAATGTCGCGACAGGGCGAGTACTATCAGTTGATCATATCGGAGGCCTTCCCCGAGGACGAGGGCACCTACAAGTGTGTGGCCGAGAATAAGTTGGGCAGCATTCAGACCAGCGCCCAGCTGAAGGTGCGTCCCATTGAGAATTTGGATGCCCCACCGACCATTACGGCACTGAAGGATGTCTCCGTTACGGAGGGCATGCCCGCACAATTCAAGACGACAGTGACGGGCAAGGTGAAGGCCACCAGTGTTCAGTGGTTCCGCGAGGGACAGCTGATACCCGAGACACCAGATTTCCAGGTGGGTTTTCAGCAATAATACTCAAATTTCATTGTTCTAGGATTCTTTGTGTGTTAATCGTGAAAAATAATATTCTATTGGGACTCATTACAGATGATCTTTGATGGCAACAGCGCTGTGCTTTTGATTGGAACCACCTACGAGGAGGATTCGGGCATCTTTACAGTACGTGTGACTTCGTCCACCGGCCAGGTCGAGTCCTCAGCCAAACTGACTGTTAAAAGTAAGGATTAAATCTAAAAACTAAGCCAAAACCGCAACCAGAGTTCGACAAAATACCAAGCAAAACACACACATAAAACCAAACGTAAGCGAACCGTGTTCAAAACATCAATCAACAAAAAAAGATCAAACAACCAACAGAAAAACAAAACCAACTCCAAAGATTGCTCAAAAAATAACTGAAAATACTAGAAAGTAACGTATATTTTCAGTACGGAAAATATTTAAAATACCGACAATACTGAACTTATACTGAAAAATATTTAAAACATAAAAACTGACACAACGAATCCCCAAAAAAACAGCTACGAACGTATAGAACCAACCACTACTACTACTCGTACGATTATATTACCTAAAACCTATCGAAATATATCGATAGTTATCGATATTGACCAACTACTAGTCGTAAAAGTTGGAGATTGAAGAATATTCTAAAGCGAAGAACCTAAAACCTTTTCTAAACTTATTTCCAAACGAACGAAGTTTTTAAATTTGTACTAACAATTTTTGCAAAATGTGAAACCCACAGCAACAAAAATATCTACCATAATGTTAAACAGGAAAAACAATTAACCAAAGAACAAAAAACTAAAAAAAAAATCAACGCAAAGAACAAAAAAAATATTGAAAAGAAAAATTTTAATTGAAAAAATAATAAAAATAATTACAAGTATTTTGCAAAACTATAAATATTTATAGAACATTTATTCAAGTAGAAAAAGCATCTTGCTGGCAGCACTAGGAAATTAGCACACAAATTTCAAATTAAAAATTGAAAATTGAAAATTCTTTAGCCACAGAAAATGAGTGAAATTGAAAATGACTCAAAGAATATTCATGTAGATGAGACAGTTCTCTAGGCCCCCGATGAGTCGTTTTATAAATAAGGCAGCCACAGCTTATGTACAACAATACTTTCAACGAAATTATGTCCGAACACTAGAGCATACATATAGGCAGAAGGCAGGCACAGGCCACTTTAAGAATACTTGGTGTCTTATGTATAATATTTTCTACCGTATCCCAAATGATACTATATATAGTATCTCCCAGCAATCATCATTCGTGTGGTGTAGTTTTTTGGTGCCGTGTGCACATGAAACGCACATTTCAACCGCCTCCGCTCGAGCGTGAAAGTTGTTATATTTTCATGAGAATATTAGCATAAAATATTATGGATGACACATCTAGCTCACACACTGGTCTTTGCTGGTTCTGTTCTGCTCGTTCTGTGTTCCGTTTCTGGTATCTTGTATCTGCCAGATACACACAGACACACACGTACCCACCAGCCAGCCAGTACGGTTCTCTAGCCAAAAAACTAGAACACAAATAATATCAAAATCCATTCAGCCATGGGCTTTTCATCTTGCCATTCGAATGATGCTCTATTTTTCCCTCCTAGATATTCTTCTATATGTACTCTTTTTTTTCCTCCCCAATTTGTTCTATTTTCAATAGTATTTTTGGAGAATGTTTTGCTTTGTGCTTTCGAGAAAACTAATTTCCAATAGATTAGCGTTAAAAAATCCGTGCTGGGATCTATTTTTGGGGGCCAGCGCGCTGTCTGGATATCTGGTGTTCTTTCGTTCAGGCAAAACAAATTGAAAAACATTTGATGTATTTTCCGCTTTTTGCTTCAAGTAAATCTTGAAATTTATTTTCAATAAAAAGGCACAACAAAAAAATAAAGCAACGAAAGAAATTTCTATAGTTCTGCGGGGGGTTAGGAAACATGCAGAAAATAAATTAAAGAGATTACCTAAAAGAGATGATCCCCCGGGGGTTTTTAAGAGATCTTATAGCCAAAAAAAGATATTGGCCAACAACAAACAGCAGTTGGGCATTTACTCATTAGACAAGAACATGAATTGATGATTTTGTTTATGGTGCAGAAATGAATTTAATTCGATTAATCAGTTACGGCTGTTCACTCATCGAGCAGCGGAGGGACCTTTAGATGAATCATGTCTTGCTCCCCCATGTAGTTTTTTCTTCTTTCTTGAAATATATTTAGCTGCCAGGCCCAAAGATGTTTTGTTGTTTCCAAGCAAAGATGCTCCCCTGTTCGATGCTGCAAAATAAATCCCATATTAGAAAAGGTTCAAGCTGCGCTTTAAGATACTTCTTCATGATCAAAACTCTTACCAAAACATAAAACCCAAACGTACGATCCTCCACTGACAGTCCTCTTTCAAATATATGTTTATATTTGTGTATATCCTCACATCGATTGTTGATGAAGATGATTATGATTATAATGATAATGATTTATGTATTGTTTATATTTTAATTTACAATTTATTTATTTTTGTAGTGATGTTGCATGAGATTTTATTATTCATTTTTTATTACCGCTTCTTCTACTTCTTCTGTTCTTCTGTTTTCTTTACTAATTTTGTTTTCCATTTTGTTTTGTCTATCACACACTCTCAATCATCAATCATTTGTTGTAAATGAATTCCAAAAGTTTGTCCAAAAAATCGATTAAAAATCGATGATTATTTGCCGCTTGTGAGCTTTACTAAAAAATTAATCATAAAAACTCATGCGACTCTTTTTGTTTTTAAGTACCGATACGATTTCCGATTTCCGATTTGTAATTGTATGTTTATGTTTATCATTTATCGATTTACCGATACCGATACCGATACCGATAGACGATTATCCACTCTCCACTCTTTTTGTTGTTTTTTAATTGTATTTTTTGATCATGTATTTAATACTTAAAAAGCAAATCTGATCGCGTCTATAAATAAATTCAAGCAAAATGCATTAATTTGAAGAAAAAAAACTTTGTTTTTGATAACTCCTGCTCCCCTGCCAGCACACATGCCAAAACACTGCCACACTGCTACTGTTGTTACTGTTTCTGCATGCTTGCCATCAATCAGTATGAACACACAGGTAAAAATCACACAGGTAATGGTTTTTTTTTGTTGCAGAACAGAGTAGGAACTGCTCTTTTTTTTCAGGGCAGAACATTGCCCGTTTGTTGTCTATAACGGAATGAGCAGCGAATCTCTCGTTTGGATCTATGCAGTACGCTGCTGCTGCTGCGGCTGCTGCCGTTGCTGCGCTCGCTCTGAGCAGCCTGGCAGGCAGACACACCCCGCCCATAAATCTGTCTGTAGCCGCTCTGCCAGCGCCACAGCCCCACCTGGTGACGTAGCCGCCACTAATCAGATATCTATTTTTGGGAGGCAACACAACACATTTCAAATTGCTTGCTCTCAATTGTACTTGCCACACAGAGGCCACCACATCCCATCCAAATGGCTGCCATTTAATGATCGTCGTAATGATGATGAGACGAAAAGATATTTCGTTTTGTCATGACATTGTGTGGCACACTCACAGATCTCAGACAGATATAGGATTTAGAGGTGCTGCTTAATGCAGTTTTAATCATCGCACGTCCAAGTGTAGGGACTGCTGCTCCGTCATGCCCGATTAATGATTCATAGATAAAACATAATGTCACCTCGCAACAGCAGAGACTTGTGACTATGTGACTGACTCTTTTTGACTATTTTTATCAATGCCAATTAGCTTAAATATGTATTTCGACAGAGTCTTGAGATGTGACCTAGAGGTACGCTTCACCTAGGCCCACATGGGTCCCATATTTTAAGAGGGAGATGGCAACGATGGGGAAAGTTGAAAACTGAAAGTATTTTCACTTGCATTTTCTAGTTTAATATGACAAAATATTTAAATTCAATTAATTTGCCACAAATGTTATTTATTACATTTATTTTAAAGGGTTTTATCTTTAGAAAAAAAAATTGTTTATCTCAAATATTTCATGTAAATATGAATGTAATTCTCTTGCCTTTTCCACATTTCTCTGAGTGTATGCATGGCCAATATTCAGGGTCACAGCAGCTAAGAGTCTACGTGGGGGTGTAGTGGGGATTTCAGTGGGTGGGTTTTTGGTTTCATTTGCTCTGCTCTGCTCTGCTACTCTGTCTATAAATCCACTAAAAATATATTTATTTATGTTATGTTTCAAGTTCATTGTTTTGCATATGCGCCCACAAAGATTTCTGATTTATTTATAGATTATAGTAGAGCCAAAAGGTAAGTGGAAGACTCCGCCTTTGCTCCCCTCGAACTCTGGATTATGCTTTGGTCCTCTATTTGTAGAGCGATCCCTTTACTAAATCCCTTTACCCCAACCATTTAGAACGACGCATCTCGGCCTTTCAATTGCGCACAATTGATTCCGCCGAAGATGAGTCCTCATCCTCTGGCCGGGAGGACGGTGCTCCTGATTCCCCACTGCAGCCAGGACAACTGCAGCAGCCCGGAGGCCAACAGCAACAGTTTGGCCAGTACCTGGGTGTCAATGGACATGAGGGCAGATCCCGCACAAAGAAACCCAAAGTGAGAAGCAAATCCCTGCAACCTGCCACAAAAGTGATTCCCTGGCGCAAGTCCTCACGTCCGACACGTGGACGTTCGCTGGACAAGGGTGTCTTCCTGCCTGGCTTCAAGCCAGAGCCTGTGAAGTCCTGGACCGAGGAGACCATCAGCCTGAAGGCCACACCCATTGAAAAGAAGAAGCCAACGCCAAAGCTCGAGGCTGCCACAGTCGTGCTCAAGTCAATCAAAACGGAGCGGGATCAAGGCATCATGAGTCTGGGCGCCACGCTGGAGCAGATCATTGCCGGCAAGACGGAAAAGGAGGCAGTGCCATGGATCACCATGCGGGAGAAGCTGAAGCAAGTGGAGAGCGTCTCGGAGCAGCTCAACAAATTCGACATTGATGAGGTTTACCTGCGGCCGCTCGAGGGCACCATCGAGACTGAGGAGCCGTTGCCGCAGCAGGCCCAAGTGGAGCAGGAGCAGCGCACCAAGGAGATTCAACGTCTAAAGAGCATGGAGAGTGTGGAGATTATGGAGATGACAGATCAGATCGATAAACTAATCACACAGCAGCAGAACAACAAGGATCTGATACCCTGGAAGGAGATGCGACAGCAGCTAAAGAGCGTGCAGCGTGTCACCACGCAGATTGACAAATTCAAGATCGAAGAAGTGGAACTGAAGCATTTGCAGGCACAGCAGGCGGCCATCGCCGAGGAGGTTCTCCTCACCATCGATGAGAGCTCCAAGGGTTCCATCTCGAAGGTTGTGCAGCGCCAGGATCTGCAGCACTACGAGGAGGATCAGTCCGTGGGCAGCCACAAGCAGCAGTTTATCACCACCGAAGATGTCAACATAATGCACGTCTCGGAGCGAGAGCAACTGGAGGCTCAGCGTCTGATACGTGAGCAGCAGGCCGTCAACTGGCGGCAGCAGCAACAGCAGCGACCACAGCTGCAGCCACTCACCTCCGTGGAGGACACCATATCGCAGACGAGCGATCGTCAGCGATTGGTGCAACAGCAGAGCTTAATCGAGGAGGCACAGCGGCAGCAGTTTGTGCAGATCGAGGACTCGCAAATGATGAGCATCGAGCAGTACGAGCACCAGAAGATCATCAATCAGCGCACACAGCAGGAGGCCTTCGACTGGCGCCAGCCGCGCGAGGCCCAGAAGTTCATTCAAGTGGAGGACTCTTCGCTGATGCACTTGCAGGAGCGTCAGGACACACAGGAGCAACAGTTGCTGCAACAGCAACCCGTTCTGTGGGATCGTGGCAAGAAGAAGCCGGAACAGGCACAGCCTCAGGCACCCGTCCAGGAGCAGCCGCAGCCACAATTTGTGGAGAAACCAAAGACCTACGAGGAAATGCACGACGTGTTGCAGGAACCACTGCCTGTGGCACAGCCACAGCAGCAGCCTGTGCTGTGGGAACGTGGCAAGAAGCAAAAGCCAGCGGCCCAAACCTACGAGGAGTTGCATGATGTGTTGCAGGAACCACAGCCCGTGCAGCAGCCCGAACAGGTGCCTGTCCTGTGGGAACGTGGCAAGAAGAAGGTCGTGCAGGAGCAGGTGACCACCACCCAAGAGGTGTTGCAACAGTCCACCCAAGTGATTGACTCTCAAGAGGTATTGCAGCAGACCTCCGAGGTCCTGCAACAGCAACAGATTGTGGAAGAGACCAAAAAGACAGCCGTTCGGCGGGTGATTCCCCCACGGGAGCCCGAACAAAAGGTGGAACAGGTGCAGCTGAAGCCAACGCCCAGACCTCGCCCCAAACAAGCGGAAAAGGCGGAGGACTTGCAACTGAAACCCCTGAAGACCATCAGACCAGTGCAACAATCGGTGGAGCAGCAGCCTGCACAAAAGGCTTACGAAGAGGCCACGGATGAGCTGCCCGAAGAGGCACCTGTGCCACAAGTGGTGGAACAGCCACAGCCTGTGCTGTGGGAGCGTGGCAAGAAGTCAAAGCCTCAACAGACAGTAGCACAAGAGGCAGCACCGACTCTAGAGGTGGCAGTCGACACTTTGGAAGAGGAAAAGATTGCACCCGAAGAGCCGCAACCGCAGCCGGTGCTGTGGGAGCGCGGCAAGAAGAAGCCAGCGGTGGCAAAGCCAGCAGGCCAGGCAGTTGTCGAGGAAGCAGCACCCAAAACGCTCGAAGTGGTCGAGGATACCTTGGAGGAGGTCCAGCAGCAGATCGAACCTCAACCGCAGCCCCAACTGTGGGAACGTGGCAAGAAAAAGAAGCCCGTGCCCAAGCCACAAGAAGTTGTGGAGGAAAAGCTGCAGGAAGAACCCACAAAGACCTACGAAGAGGCAGTCGATGTCCTGCCCGAAGAACCCAAAGTGGAGGAGGCGTCACAGCCTGTTTTATGGCAGCGTGGCAAGAAGAAGCCAGCAGCAGCAGCAAAGCCAAAGCCAGAGGCAGAGCCTGTGGAAGAGGAGCAGCATCCCGATGAGGTTGATGCTCAAATTGAAAAGGTTTTGGTCGAAGAAGAAGTGGAAGTTGTTCAAGAAAAGCGCAAGATCAAAAAGACCAAGAAGCCAAAGGCCACAGAAGAAGTGCAAGAAGAAATTGTGGAGGAAATTCCAGAGGAAGAAATTCCAGAAGAGATTGTCGAAGAGATCCAGGAAGAGCAGGAGGTTGTCATCGAAGAAAAGAAAAAGGTGAAAAAGGTGAAGAAACCAAAGAAAATTGTTGAAAAGACTGAAGAGGAGGCCCCTGAAGAGGAAGTTCCTGAAGAGGAAGTTCCCGAAGAGGAGGCCCCTGAAGAGGAGGTTCCCGAAGAGATCGTGGAAGAACAAGAAGAGATTGTGGAAGAAAAGAAAAAGGTGAAAAAGGTCAAGAAGCCCAAAAAGACTGCAGAGACGATCGAAATCGAGGAAGAGCAGCCCGATGAAGAGGCGCCACAAGATGAGGAAATCATCGAAGAGCCCGAAGAGATCATCGAAGAACAATCAGAGATCGTGGAAGAAAAGAAAAAGGTGAAAAAGGTCAAGAAACCCAAGAAAAAGGTAACCGTGGATGATGAAGCCGAAGAAGAGCAACCCATTGAAGAGGGGGAGGAACCAGAAGTGGAGGTACCTGAAGTGGAGGAACCTCTACCCGCCGAAGAGCCCAAGAAACCCAAGGCCAAGCCACAAGAAGTGGTGGAGCAAGTGGAAAAGGTGGAACTGAAGCGAACTCCACGCAAGCAACAGCCGCTGCCCGAGAAGGAGCAATTGGAAGAGGTGTCCCTGAAGCCACTGAAAAAGACTGCAATTGTCTCGCAGGAGACACCACAACCAGAAGAGATCGTAACAGAGAAGGTGGTCGTCACAGAAGAGCAAATTGTGGATGTAACAAAGAAGCGGGTTAAGAAAAAGAAGCCCAAACCAAAGACTGACACAGAAGAGGAGGCCCCAGAAGAGCCAGAAGAAGAAGAACTCATCGAAGAAGTCGAGGAAGAGCAGCCACAGTCAGAGGTCGAGGAGCCACAGGAAGAGCTACAAGAGCCCATTCCAGAGGTGGAACAACCTGTCGAGCCAAAGGCAGCACCAAAGCCCAAACCCAAGCGAGAGGAAATCATCGAAAAGGTGGAGGAGGTAGCCCTGAAGCGTGTCGCACGACCAAAGAAACCGCTGCCAGAGGAGGCAACCATCGAGGAAGTGCGTCTCAAGCCTACAACCAGGAAATCCATCAAACCCGAAGAAGTAACACTCGAAGCAGTGAATTTGCAACATGTGGAAAAGGTGGAGGAAGAGCTCATCCAAGAGGAGAAGCGCAAAACGAAAAAGGTGAAGAAACCCAAGCACGAGGATATGCCAGAGATAGCCGATGCCGAACCCACACAACTGGAGGAAGCGGAGCACTTGGACTTGGAGAAGGAACCAAAGCCGGAGGAGGAGCAACCTCAAGTGCCATGGAAGCGTGGCGAAAAGAAAAAGCCTGTGGAGGAGGTGCTCGAGGAGAAGCAATGGCCCAAGGGCAAGCGGCATTTACTGCCGGCCGAGCAGCCCGAGGAAGTGCAGCTCAAGCCCATACCCGCGAAGCCAGCGGAGGCGCCACAGCAGCCAGAAAAGGCCATTCCCGGTCCCCAGCTGCAGCCCCAAGAGAAACCCGAAAGCGAAGAGGAGGAACTCGAGCTGGAACCACTTAAACTGCCCGAGGAGGAAGCTGCACCCAAGGTCAAGAAGGAGAAGAAAAAGAAGCCCAAGCTAAAGAAGGCAACGCCCTCGGTGGATGAGGTATCCGAGGAGATGGCCGAACCATTTGCCGAACCCATTGCCGAGGAAGATGAAGTCGAAGAGATTCTGCCCGTGGACGATGACAAGGTGGTGGCGGTATCCGAGGATGTCCTGCCCGAAGAGGAGCTCCAACCCACGGAAGAGACCACCCCCGAGGCGAAGCAAAAGGCACAGAAGAAGCGCACAAAGCGCCTCAAGCAGGCCTCTGTGGAGGGACAGCCGCAGCTGCTGGAGGCAGCCATTGCGGAAATCGAAAAAGTGGATGAAGTATTCCAAGAGATCTCACAAAAGACCATCACACTGCTCAAAAAGACTGAGGACACGCGGCCGCAGTTCATAACCACAGAACAGCTGATCGAACTGGATGTGGAGGATGTGCGCCGGGATCTCGAAATGAAGGTTACTTCAAATATAATTAAGAAAGAGAGGCGCCGGGTCGTGCTCGATGACAGTCAACCGTTGCCCGAGCTGGAGCTCATCACACAGAAGCGCATTCAGGAGGGTATTGACCGCATGGCCGATGAGGAACTCATCGAGGATCAGCAGCTGACACAGAATCAGCAAGAGACAACCACATCCGAGGTGATTGGACAGGAGCGTAAGCTGGTGAAGAAAAAGAAGAAGGAAATCAAACCCCCACGCATCACCGAGAAGCTTCGCCCACGACAATGTGTGCCCGAGGAGCCCACTGTTTTGGAGTGCAAAGTGGAGGGTGTACCCTTTCCGGAAATCAATTGGTACTTCAATGACATTCTGCTCTTTGCCTCGGAGAAATACGAGATCACCGTGGTGGAGCAGGTGGCACAGCTGAAGATTGCCAAGGTGACGCCCAGCGATGTGGGTGTCTACACGTGTGAGGCCAAGAATGAGGCTGGTGTGGCCACAAGTCGCACAAATATTATTTTAGGTGAGTTTTACATTAGTTTTTACTCTCCTTTTAGTTTTATTCTAGCCCCGACTAGCACCCATCCAGCTCCCACTTTTGTATATAATTGTTTCCCCCTACTTTATCCTGCACAAAAAGACACAAAATATTTATGATTTTGGATCCAACTTCCCAATTTAGAAAAAGAACAAGGCGTTGCGCCACAGTTTACGCGGCCGCTCAAGATCGAGTTCACTGAAGAGAAACAGCCCGAGAGGCTAAAGGTTACGGTGACGTGTCAGGTGGCCGGTAAGCCACAGCCACAGGTCAAATGGTATCGCGGCATCGAAGAGGTGCTGCCCAGCGAAGCCGTACAAATGATGTACGATCAGCAGACGGGTGAGGTGGCTCTGGAGGTGTTTAATCCACCAGCCAATGAGGCCATCACGTACTCGGTGCAGGCACAAAATCAATTTGGACGTGCCATTGGCAATGCCAACATCATGAGTCGCTTGGATGAGCAGGAGCAGGAGCCCAAGGAAATACTTAAACCCCCCACAGTCACTCCATTGAATGCTGTGGTGGTGCCCACCGGTGGCACTCTCCGCTTTGAGGTGCAATACGATGGTCTGCCCCGCCCGGAGATCAAATGGATGCGCAATGGTCGTGAGATTGTGGAGAACGAGGAAATCGTTGTGGAGACCACAGAGACGACAACCATCATCAGGGTGATCAATATGACACGCAAGCGGACCGGCAAATACGAGGTTTGGGCCAAGAACAAAGTGGGCGAGGCCAAGTCATCCGGTTCGGTTGTTGTCTCCGACTCGAAACCCGATCAACAGATCCAACCGCCACGTTTCATTCAGCCACTGGAGCCCAAGTACTTTGGGGAGCATGAGGTGGCCATACTGGAGGCTGTCGTTCAATCGGAGCCACTCTCCTCCTTCCAATGGTTCGTGCACAATGAGCCCATCAAGAGCTCCACCGAGTGTCGCATTGTCAGCGAGGCCAACAAGTCCACACTGTTGATTGAGGATTTCCAGCGGAAATTCATTGGACCCTTTACGTGTCGCGCCGAGAATGTGGGTGGTTCGGTGACCTCCACGGCGACAGTCAATCTTTTGGAGGCACTGCCCCAGGAGGAGGCAGTGGAATTTGAATCGCCACGCTTCATCGAGGAGTTGCTGCAACCCGTCGAAGTGATGGATGGTGAGGCGCTGCTGCTGCAGTGTCAGGTGCGCGGCAAACCCACACCCAAGGTGGAATGGTATCACAATGATGAGAAGATTGTGGAGACAAAGGAAACTACGATATCGCAGGACTTGCAAGGCAAATGCCAGCTGCAGATTACCGAAGTATTCCCCGAAAACGAAGGCCAATACAAGGCCGTGGCCAGCAACAAAATTGGCAAGACAGTGACCAAGACAAACGTTAAAATTCAAGGTACTTCAACAACTCTAAGCGTTTGTTCTAAATAACCAGCAGAAAAGTACTAGAAAGTAGTGAAAGTAGTAGCTGCCGCAACTATCTACAGATACACAAAAAACACTACAATGCATCCCCCCAAAAAACTGATATCTACTTATAGGTCTTGTTTCCCCATCTCACCAATAATAACTCTCCTCTCTCAACACCCCCTGCATGTGATGTTTTTTCTCTCTCTCTCTTCGCTGGGAAATCCTTCTCCCATTTTCTTTTGTAAATAATCCCTTCCTCGTTACTTCGTTTCCTCGTTGTTTACCTCGTTTCTGTTGGATTATTCCTTGTGGATAATACTTTTTCGACTGTATGTTTTTTTTAGCATTTGAATATATCCCCGATTCTGAAATCACTGGACTCACTGGATCTGAGGAGGATCTACTTGATAGAGTAAGAACCCAGAACCCAGAGTGCAAAAATGAGAGAGTGAGATCAATCGATATTCCCCCTACCCCCTTTTTTCTGTAGACCCTCTCAATCGACGAACAAGCACCGAAAATCATTAAAAAACTACCAGAGAAAATCGAACCCAAAGAGGGTGAACAGCCCAAGCTGGAGGTTAAGGTTATTGGCCGACCCAAACCAAAAATCAAATGGCTACGCGACGATGAGCAAATCTTTGCCTCCGAGGAATATCAAATTGAGAATTTCGACGATGGCACATCGGTGCTGGTGATTAATCATGTCTATCCCGATGATTGGGGCACCATCAGTTTTGAGGCATACAATCCATTGGGCGTGGCAGTGACAACGGCTCTGTTCTCTGTGGAAGGTACTATCTTACGTATAGGTGTTATCTCTAGCATATATCTGTATATATTTGCTTTAAATTTTTATGGAATTTTGTTAGTTCAAATTCTTTTACAGGTTATGGCAGCAAAATGTCCCAAAATATCCCTAATCCTACCACCCAAAAATATCCCTGACAAAAAATTACACACAATTTTTGTTCTTTTGAGGCACACACAACACTTGATTAAGTTTAAGTTTAAACAAAATGTATCTTTTCCAGGGCAAAATGTCTCGTTTTTTATGTCTACATATATTTAATGATTCTATCCATATCTGTATCTTATATAAGGCATTGTTGGATCGAAGGATTATCGTAAACCGGAATGGGTCACACAAATGGAGGAAATGCAGGTGGCACTCAAAGGTATGTATCTTTCTCTTTCAGCCGCTCTCTCTCTTTCTCTCTCTATATATCTCTCTCGTTTGTTCCACTGTTATGTGTATATGTGTTTCTATAATCTTTCGTGTTCTCCAAACAACAAAAAAAAAACACACAACAATCAAACAATAAATTCCTGTCTTTTGTCTGTAATTTTGTCTTAAATCTACAACAAATTCTTGTCTTCTATCTCGTCTGTCTTTTACTTCTCTATCTCTATCTATTGTATATGTCCCCAAGTACACAAAGATATATTTGTGGCTCTGTCCCCTCTTACGCCAACAGCTCTAAGGCTTACCCCAACCCTTCCCCGAACTCAAACCCAATCTGAACTTTTAAAATTAGTAAACGCCTATTTTTTTTTTAGTAGATATAATTAAACTTTTCGTATATCCAAAAATGTATCTCTTACAGTAGCACAGTATCTGTTTATCTGTGCATATTTCATCTGCAAGTAATACATTCATCCTATAATTGGTTTCATGTTCCTCTGTTCCAATTTTTACATTTTATTCCAAATTGTCTACCAAAAAAACAACTAACAACACAAAAAAGAATATTAAACCAAAAAGTGTTCGATCTGAAAACCAAAACAATTCGTATAACATTCCCCTTCAGAACGCTGCTTGCAAATCTTCACTTTTTATTTAGATCTCTATAACACACCAAAACTTGTTGCATGCCACACACTAAAACCCGTGTTATGTGTTCTATATTTGGTTGAAATCATTAAAAACAACTTCCTAAGAAACTCACTAAAAACAGACAAGCAAAAACAAAAATCAGTATATGTAAGTACACTGGCGCAAAAGATACAATCAACAAAACATTCCATCCATTGCAACGCTTTTAGATAATAGTTTCCAGTAGTTCTCTAATCCATAGATATATGCCATTTTTTATGTCTCGCTTTTTAGCTGCTAAATGCTCGCCATCGCTACTAAATGAAATGCGCGACAGCCGCTGTGCTATGGGGGAAACGGCAAAGTTTCATATACAATTTGCAGGCAATCCTATGCCAGGTATAGTATGAGACAATGAGAGGGAGGGTAGATCTGACAGTCGTGACACTCTCTTCTCTATAGATATTCAATGGTATTTCAACAATGTACAGCTTAGGGCATCCGAAAAGTATCGCATGGTAGTCGAGGAGCATGAGGCCACATTAGAAATTATGAAAATCACACAAGACGATTGCGGCTACTACAATTGCAAGCTAATCAATGAGATTGGAATGACAATGTCACGTGCCAAGTTCGAGATATCATCTACGTCCAACGTGGAAGAGGTTGTGCAAACCAGAAAGATAATCAAAAAGAAAGCGGGTGGCAAGAAGACTTCCTCAATGGTCAAGCGAACTTCGGGTGCATCGGCGATGCAAAAGACAGAGATACGTATTGTACCTGCCGCCACAACGACCATGAATGTCTACAAAGTGAAACAACCTGTCTCTATACTGGTAGAGAAGAGTGAGATTTCCGAGGTAATGCAGGTCAAAGATCGTAAGATTGCAGATGCAGAGCTACGCAAAAGTCAAATCATAGAATCATCCGAGTCCGAAGTTGAAGAAGAGATCGAAGAAGTGGAAGAAATCAAAGAAGAAATCAAGGAAGAAATTAAAGAAGAAAAGTCTGCCAAAGAAAAAATCAAATATACATCCAGCAAAACGATTGAACTGACCAAAACTGTCGAGCTGATACGTACAAAAATTACTCAAAAGACCATCACCATTGAGGACATACACGTGATATCGCAGCACGAAGACGTCCAGTGGCTGCTCGAATCCATTGAGGCCGTATCCTTTGGTGCCTCGGGCGAGGCAGCACTCAGAGATCTGGCCACCATTGGCCTCCTTTTGCGCTATGGCTGCACTCACTACGAGATTACGTACATGTACGAGCAGAATATCTTTATATCCCTGAAGAAACCCGAATCGCAGTCAGCTCTAGTGCAGCTGGTGGAGCGCGAGGGACACGAGGAGTTGATCACCCAAATCCTCAGTGAATCTTCCAATGAGGATGAGACCATTCTAGCAGCTACAGTTGGCTTCAAGGCCTTCATACGTATGATCCAGACATACGAGATCACCATCGAGATTGTCATACGAAAGTTTGTTAGGGAGGATTTCATATCGCAGGACTGGAAGATATGCGGAAAGGAGGTTTGAATTTATGTTACTCGTTTGTCGTTTCTAGTTCGAAATTTTTTGTTTTTGGAAAGAAAAATCTATTTAAAATTTAATTTCTGTGTTTAAATTGGGTTTCAAAAAGAGAAATAATAATTAGGTGCAGAGCGAACAAAAAACCCTCAAAACGAATGTTTTAATTTCCTTTTTTGCAAATGATTAATATTTTTTATTAATTATTTTTGAGGGTTTTTGTGAGCTCGGATAAAATTTGAAAAATGATTGACGTATTCACTTTTTGTTCAACAATTTTTTTATATACTTTTGGTTTTGTGAAATCGGAAATCTAGAGAATAGTAGAGACATCGCAAATAATTGAAAGTCACGAGGCTATAACGCATGTCAAAATCGGTGAGTATTTTGCGCATAAAGCTTTAAGTAGTTTAATGCGATAAGAAAATCCAAATATATTTATTTCTTATTTTTTTTAACATGTCGCATCTGCTTTGTAAACAAAATTTACCTTTGCGTGCATCACAACAAATCCCATGAAATTCCCTCGACAATTTCCTCGTGCAGAGGAAACATTTATTGAGGAACGAACGATAATTGTTGAAGAAGGTTTGAACATAAACACAGATGATCTGTAAAACAAACAAAAAACAACCACCACAAAATATATATAACGAAATCCTACCACCAGTAACGATGTATACCACCAAAAACCAACCAAACGATCCCACCATATATGAACTACAGCCTCAAAAATATTAATATTTATGACATTGCAAAACAAAAATAATTTACAACAAATATAACAATTAAAAAACAAAAATCATGTGTATATTCTAAAAAAAAAGAGTCTTTAAAAACCAAGCAGTATTCCCCATTAACAGCTAATCAACCATCACTAAAAAAAAAACAAAATAAAGCTATATATCGTATATGTATATCTTGCTGCAGCTATAAATACCATATAAGCGAAATAACTATTGATTTTCATACCCACTTTAATGCTTTTGCTTCTTCACTAATGCTCATTCGATGACAAGAGTACACGTAGAAGAGTCGCTTCAATCAATGCACGCAAAATGCAACCGACCCCCAGATGATGCCACCCTGAGGTAAGATATGCCATGATCCCCACTTGATAAATATTTAATGTTTCTCTGTGCAACTCATTTTACCGCTTTACGGCACTGGCTATAAGCTAAATATTTAGTCGTAAACTACAAATACTAATCGATACATATGTAGAACGCTTTTGGCTTGGCTTTCTGCGAGTTTTTGAAATCTCATTTATTGTTTTGTGCAACACAAGCAAGCAACCAACCACACAAATACTAGTTGAGAGGTCCAGACATTGTCATTGTTTAATAAACATTACATTCACAGAAACAGCAACCACAAAAGTGGATAAAAAATTCATACAGCAACAAGAACAAGAACATATACTCGTACAACAAGAACAAGTGCACATACAGTCAGCAGAAGCCGAAGAGGAGGTTGTTGTCCAACAGCAAATTGTGAAAAAGAAAACACAGAAAAAGCATAAGAAACATACAGAACAAATACAGATACAGGAAGAAGTGGTGCAGCAACAGATACAAATACAAGAAGAGGTACAGCAACAGATACAAATACAAGAAGAATTCATCACACCCATCATCGCAGAGGAAGAAAGTGTCGAGCAATTGCAAGAGCTTATCCTTCCATATGAAACACTATCCATGCAACATGTACCCAAAGACACGGTCGAAACCATTGCCAGTGCAGAGACCACAGAACTTTCAACACCGAAACCTCAGCCCGCAAAGGTACAGGACGATATACTGCCCCAAAAGATGTTGGCCATCAGTGAGGAGTGTGTGCCACTCGATGTGGCACTACCCAAAGACACTAAAAAACCAACAGAAAATCGCGTGAGTGAACAAATTGAAGTGCGGCATCAACATGCTGTAGATGTGACCGAAACAGAGGCACGTGAGGCCTCACCCAAAGAACTGAAGCCCTCAAAAATCCCCAAGAGCGTCAAGGCCCAGCGGAAGGTAAAGGAATCGCGTCCTTTGCTGGTGGAAGCCACAAGCATAGAGGAGGCCATAGATGATCTGCAGCCCATGAAAAATGTAGAACAGAAGGCGCATGGTGACATTCTGTTGTCACATGAGCTCACAGAGGAACAACCACAGATTATGGAGGCCATGGAGCAGCTTAAGGAGAGTAAATCCATTAAGGAGGAAACTATTGAATCGCATTTCCTAGATCAGGAAGGTCTGGTGATCACCGAAGAAACAATCAGTGAAACCTTAGGGAAAGAAATCGTTCAGAGCAAGCCAACAACGGAGAAGATTTATCCAGAATTAACTTCAAATGTAAGTCTAGCCATAAGCGAATGCCAGCCGGAGGATTCTGTGGGGGAGCTAAAACCCTCAGCGGAAGTACGCAAGGAAACAACATCCAGGACTATTTTAGAGCACAAATCAGTGAGCACCAGCGCCTCAGAGGTTCTTGAAAGCGTGGACACCATACCCCTGCAAACACAACCCACCAAAGGAATTGCCGATGTCAGTCTCAAGCCAGAAGAAGTTCCACTCGTTACTCAAGAAACGGAAACCTTTGAGTCTGTGGCAGAGAGCGAGACCAAGCCACGCGTGGCAGACACAAAAGCCATGCAACATTTGGTATTAACCGAAGGATTGCTCAACATTACAGCAGATGCTCAGAGTCCATTGGAGGAGCAAATTCCAGACTTTAAAACAGATGAAAAGAAAGCAAACTTGGAAATGGAAACCCAGCGTCATGTTGTCACCCAGGAAACCGTGTCGACTGAGGAGGCACCGAGTGATTTGGCTATAGAGGAGACACCAAAGAGCGTTGAGGGCACCCTGGGACAATCGAGTGCCCTGACAATTGGCGAAACTCTAGAGACAAATCTCATAGAAATGGCCCAGGATCTGATCGAATCCCAAGTGGAGACCACAAAACCAGCAAAGGAAACACTAACCAAAGCCTATGGTACTGCGGAAAGCAATCAGGAGTCTCTATACGACACATTGGGTTCTGTGCCAGATGTGGAACATCCCAAAGGACAGGGAAAGGTCAACATTGCCGATGCCGAACTCGTGGCAGAGGTACAGGCAGCTCCCACTGTCATTCACACAGAAGAGGAGCTTCTGTCTGTCGTTCCAGAGTTTGTGGATGCCACAATGAATATCGTGGAGGAGACTGTCGCATTGGAGATCACGCAGGATACAGTGGCCGAAAAGGAGCAAACATTCCCCCAGGATGTGTCTCAAGCCGAACAATCAGCTGTAGAAAAGATAATCCCTGTTGATCTCAGAGTAACAACTGTCTTTGAGGTTCAGGCCGGACAAACTTCAGAGGATATTGCGCCGGCAGATACACGTTCCGTGTCTGCCATTAAGGTTCTAGATACAATGCCCATTGGAGTGGCATCTAAGCCGGATCTCATGGAAGGAACTAGCTACCTGGAGGCTTTGCCACAGCCCGAACTCAAGAGCGGCACCGTCTTGATGGATGAAACCCAGCAGCCATTGGAAGTAACGAATGTACAGATCAGTGAAACGAGCACCGAACTGGCAGATACCCTCCCAAAACAACAGCAAACGAAAGCCCATCCCACCACAGAAGACTTTAGGCATGCCGAGGGAATGGAAATCATTCCCATGGAGTCGACTGGGCAACAACCAGATGAGGGAAAACCCACAGCAGCCCGTGCTGATGTCAGCATGCCACAGCAATTTGGCACCAATGTCATGGAACAGTCGCCCTTGGAGACGCTACAGCCACGTCCGCTGGATGTCCAGCCGCAGGAACAGCAAACAGATTCACAATTTGATTTCTTGCCACAATTGGAGACCAGTTCGTCCGTGACCCTAGAGCAAGAAACGGAAATCCCTTTGGCAGAACCACATCCACTTCAATCTGCAGCCATTGGAGCAGCCAGTGCGCTGCAGGTGGCAAATACAGAGAGATCCCAGCTTATGGAATCGTTGCAGGGCATGGAAGATCTACAGAGGTTGCCACAACAGAAGGCACATTTCAATATAGGAGAAATTACATTGCCAAAGGTCGAGGAAATCACCACACTCGAAGGATTGCAGAATTATGCCTCACCGGAATATCAGAAATCAGCACTCACGAATATAGATATTACGGAAACAACTTCATCTTTGAGGACCACCACGGCAATTGTGAGTGAAAGGACAGAGGAGCTGACGGACAAAGATGCACCACAGGAGGTTCAAATTCAACCAAAACTCAACGAATTCACACAGAAAACTCCACTCTCGGAGAGAGTCAATGTCTTGGATCAAGTTTCAGAGTTGAGCAGCCAAGTGCCTCATGCAGCCACGGGACAATCCATCATCACTAGCTGCCACGAGATAAATGTGCGTCAAACAGAAGTCCTGGAGAAGGAGGAACTGCTGGAAGGTGTGCCACAGCCAAGCGAACAACTCGTGAAGATTGCGTTGGACTCCACCACAGGACTGGCCTTGGCTCGGCAGGAGGATACCTTTGAGCATGAGGAAGAGCTGAGAGTACTTGCCCCAGAGGCAGAGCAGGCAAGACCCATTTCGGCAGATCATCTGAAGGCTGCCCTTACCGAAGGTGTCATGGAAAATCAAAGCACTGGAAAACTAGAAGACTTTAGTGCATCCGACAAATATGCCTCGCCACGTATAGATCTGTTGGTTGAAACCAAATCGACAGAGACCACAGTCTATGATAGTGTATCCAAATCTCTGGAGTCCATGCAGCCAGAGATCTTGAGTCCGCAACAGTCGATGGTGCCACACGAGCATAAAACCGTCACCGAGTGCCTTGTCGTTGATGGAACTCAACCCTTCGAAGCGAAGCCAACAGATCAGCGTACAGCCGTCAAAGTTCAGGATAATCTAAGCCACTCCATCGTCCTTGAGGATCAGAGGGTGCTGGAATCAGAGAAGCTGCTGGGCGAGGAAACTACACCGCAGCAAAAGGCAAATCTAATGGAAGATGCCACCAATTTGCATGCAAAAACGGTGGATACCACAGCCGTCTATGAATCCATGGGCGAGGATCGTCCAACAGATAAATGCAGCGTGCAACAGGCACAAGTCACTCACGTATTGGCACACACACATGCCACGGAACTGCAGCAGACAGTGGAGGCAGAGAAACTGCTGACAACACCTGAACAAACCTTTGCAGTGGCCACAGCAGATGGCATATCCTCACAGCTTGGATTACCAATCAGCACGAGGACACAGACTGTAGAGGATGTCGATGTTTTGGTCACTCTGCCAACAGACAAGCGAGTGGCACAGTCCACCTATGAAGGTCGGCAGTACGAGGTAACAGTCAGTGAAGTCCAGGGTATCGAAGAGTCTGAGAATCTACAGAAATCTACAGACATAGCACCCGTTAGTGCTGCCGAATCGTTGGATGTCATGTTCAAGGCAACATCGGTAGACACCCAGCCAGGTGTCTTCCAAAAGGAATCCCCAATCGAAGCTCACAAGCCGCAAGAGGCCACAGCAAAGCCTGTGGTAGATCTCCGCCAAGGCACCACAACATTCGATGTGTTGGCACTGGAATCCTCTGAACGCATTCCAGACACACCGACGACAGCGCCACAAGAGGCACAGAGACAGCTAGTCACTGGGGTGGAGTCTAGGAAGGTGCAGGTCCGACTCGATGACTTTATTATGGATAAGGAAGATACCCTACCGGAGACCATTCATGAATTCTATGGCAAACCGTTCATTGAGGGCACACAGAGGGAGACACTCATCACTCAAGTGATTCCCATGGAAAATGTTGATCAAATAGAGACGCCACAAGCTGCTGCCACATTCCAAGTGAATCCTATGTCCAGCGAGAGAATCACTCAATCGCACTTGGTGGAAACCCAACTACCACTCGAACTGGAGAGTGAAGCCATCATTGAATATGAAAAACTTGCCCAAGCAAAGGTCAAATCGGATGAAACGAATGTCCATACCACAATATCCGAAGTCAATACATATGAGATCACAAAAGATATTAAAGGAATATCGGAACAAGGTCAGTTTATAAAGATCGTAGAGGATTCTGACATCAATCGTGCCCATGTGACAACCATACAATCGACGCTTCTCAAAGAAGAAAATCTCCCGCTGGAGCCCATTCGCGATGGGGACATTGCGTGTGTGTCCGACGTTAAGCTGAAGAAGAAATCTGTGATAACCGAAGAGGTTCTGGGCATCAGTTCAATCCAGGAATCGTATGAGCTGCAAAAGCCAGACGAGGGCAAGGCACAAATCACACGACAGGCGCCACATGAGACTGTGAGTGTGGCCGAGCAACAGATCTACGAACAGTCACCGGAGATGATCTTGGAACAGGACGATCGTCGAGCCCGCACAAAGCCAAGTTCTGTTGAAACGCTCCTGAAACCCGTTGAAAGCTCTACCGTTAATGTCTATGAAAATGTCGAGGGACATGGGGAATTTAAGCCAATTAGTGTGCTGCCATCAACGGATACCACTGTAATTTCCGAGTTGAAGGTTTCGGTGGTGGAAGAGGTGTCAGTGATGCCATCCTTGGGTCGAGTTCCAATTGAGAAACCCTTGGAGGGCAAAGCAACACCAGAATCTGTGCCACACAAAAACGTACTGCAAAGCGAGCAGCTGCCCTGTGAGGTTGCAAGCACTTTGCTGGAAGAAGGAGCACCATCCACGGAGCAGGCAAAGCTTGCACCAGCGGATACACGAGTTGCAGCCGTGACGAGTGTGCTGCATGAGAAGGGCACCATTCGGGAGACGATCACAAGCACTCAAGTAGATGAGAAACAAGCGCTTCCTTCGATAACCACACAGAGTACGTATCTGAATGAGCAAACAATCGCACAGGAAAATGTCAATCTGTTAGATAGTGAGGAACAAAAACACATACAGCCACAGAACGCAAGTATACGTATCAAAGAAACCATCACATCCATAGCCACAACAGAACAACCAGACTTATTCAACACAACCACAACATCGAGTCCTAATGACACACGCACTGAGGAGAGGATACACCCAACACTGGTTGAGGATACCCTGAAGAATGCTTTACAGACAACACAATTTGTGTCGGAGGATACCTCTGACCTGCTCCTACCAAAATCAATGCCTGAAACTGCACTCCCCGAAAGGGTAACACATGCTGTAGCACTTTCCACCACAAACGAGTCACAAGCCACTATTTACACATCGAAAGATGAAGACCACACACAGAAACTGTTAGAGGAGAGTCTTACACAAGATATTTTTAAAGTTAAAATGGTAACACCACGTGTGGGTAAGTATCCAACTAAGTTTAGTCTAAGAAGTTTAGCAAAAAAAGGCGTATTACTTCCATTACCACCACCCCTCGACCCTCCAGAACCAAAGCACAAGCACATATTACACAGAACAAAGCAAACCCACATTCCTCAAACATAACTTTATATTAAACGCACACTTTTTTACACAGATACAAATCAAACCACAGACACACCACACACAACACCACAAAAGACACCCAAACACACACAAGAAACTAATGAAACCACAATCACGGAAACCCCCGAAACTCTGCAAATCATCGAGGAAATATCGGAAGACGGCAAACCAAAGAAGAAGAAGATCCGCACTCGCGTAATCAAGAAGGTCAAGGGAGACAAACAAGAAGTCACCAAGATCGAAACCGTCGAGGAGGATGACAAGGTACCAGAGACTACAGTCACCGTTGAAGAGGTTCCTTACGAAGAAGAGAAACCTGAGGAGATCCAGGAACTCCCAGAAGAGGTTCGCATTGTCGAATCCATCTCTGAAGACGGCAAACCAAAGNCAAAGAAGAAGAAGATCCGCACTCGTGTGATCAAGAAGGTCAAGGGAGACAAACAAGAAGTCACCAAGATCGAAACCGTCGAGGAGGATGACAAGCCTTCGGAGACTACAGTCACCGTTGAAGAGGTTCCTTACGAAGAAGAGAAACCTGAGGAGATCCAGGAACTCCCAGAAGAGGTTCGCGTTGTCGAATCCATCTCTGAAGACGGCAAACCAAAGAAGAAGAAGATCCGCACTCGTGTGATCAAGAAGGTCAAGGGAGACAAACAAGAAGTCACCAAGATCGAAACCGTCGAGGAGGATGACAAGCCTTCGGAGACTACAGTCACCGTTGAAGAGGTTCCTTACGAAGAAGAGAAACATGAGGAGATCCAGGAACTCCCAGAAGAGGTTCGCGTTGTCGAATCCATCTCTGAAGACGGCAAACCAAAGAAGAAGAAGATCCGCACTCGTGTGATCAAGAAGGTCAAGGGAGACAAACAAGAAGTCACCAAGATCGAAACCGTCGAGGAGGATGACAAGGTACCAGAGACTACAGTCACCGTTGAAGAGGTTCCTTACGAAGAAGAGAAACCTGAGGAGATCCAGGAACTCCCAGAAGAGGTTCGCGTTGTCGAATCCATCTCTGAAGACGGCAAACCAAAGAAGAAGAAGATCCGCACTCG